ACCAGCCTTACCAGGTAGGAAACACAAGGAAAAAAAAAGATGCAAACATACCCGTCATGGCTAAGGCACTTTCTTTAGGTACTCGAACCCTTGCCCCCAAGAACCACACTTGGGTAAAATATAAAAGGTTTATCTAGAAAGAGTAAAGAGTTATAAAACAAAAGAAAAACAAAAAGATACAAATTGTACTGTTAAATGGCAAGCATCTAAGTGTTAAGTAAGCTCCTACAGTTCTTTCCCATAAAACAATTGAGTAATCTACTGCTAATGGTTCTATTACCATGCTATTCTAAGTCACCATTGCAAAATCTAATCAGTCAAGGAAGGCTTTAACCTGTCACCTTCTTCTTCTCCCCCAACTTACCCACACCTAACCATCCTTTTTGTAACTTAAAATCAAAGTCTCTACTTCTCCCCCAACTTACCCACACCTAACCACCATTTCTATAACTTAAATCAAAGTCTGTACTTCATGATGGTATCCAATCAGCATACAGTCCTTTGTTCACAAGTTCATGCCCCATTTGTAATTTTCCACTGTTCAGTCTCGTGTTCCCAGGCTCGCAAGCACTTAGAATGAAATTTATTTATTTTATTTTATTTATTTTATTTATATCCCGCCTATCTGGTCAGTTAAGACCACTCTAGGCGGCCTACAGCATAAAAATACACAATAAGTATATATATAAAACAGTTTTTACATAATAGAACACATTTCAACAAGATGGGGGCAAACAATGGGGGGGAGGAGAAAAAGGGGACATCAGGAATTGACTGAAGGGAAGGCCTGACGAAACATCCATGTTTTTAGTTGATTTTTAAAGATATCCAGCGAGGGAGCCACGCGAATCTCAGGAGGTCGGTTGTTCCAGGAGCGAGGAGCCACCGCCGAGAAGGCCCGATTTCTTGTCTTTTCCTTCCGGGCCTCCCTTGGCGTTAGGCTCCTCAGCCTCACCTCCTGGCTCGCACGAGTGACACGAGTAGAACTTGGTGGGAGTAGACGTTCCGCCTAATATCGAGGTCCTAAACTGTTTAGGGCCTTATACGTGAGCATCAACACTTTGAAGTTGATGCAGAACCGAATGGGCACCCAATGCAATGTGGCCAGAATAGGAGAGATATGTTGGAATTTTCTCGCTCCCATCAGGAGTCTGGCCGCAGCATTCTGCACCACCTGGAGTTTCCGC